AGCACTCTGGCTGCACTTCTTCCAACACAGATCTATTGGTTCTTTTGGCAGCCCATGGCACTTTCAATATTCTCCTCCAACACCATAACTGAAAATCATCAATTCTTCTATGGTCTTCCTTATTCACTGTCCAGCTTTCGCATGCATATGTATAGATGTGGGTAATCCTCACAATTAGGATGTCCCATATTGTCCTTTTATAGTGACATCCTGCCCCCTCACCTGTTACCCCTGACAACCATTCATCTAATCTCTGTCATTATAATTTTATCTTCTCAAGAATGTCAGAAGAATCATCCAGTATGTATGTAGCCCTTTGATGCTGGCTTCTTTGATGCATTTGAAATTCATTGATGTGATGGCATGTAGGAAGAGTTTACTATGTAGTGTTCACAACAATTCATATATCTGCCCCATCGAAAGATTTGTGTATTTACAACATTGGGCTTTCATAAATAACACTGCTGTGAACATTCTGAACAAGTTTTTGCCACACTAGTTTTACCTGATAACAAAGATTATTGGAATCAATGAAAGCCCAGAGACGGGAAAATTAGATGGACAGAGTTTTCCCTCTGGGAAATGTCTGTAAATATTTACTTGTAGTGGGACCTGGCAGTGCAGAATCTGGAAGAACATGGGAGGAGAGCCACTATCAGCTGCCAAATGTTTGTGCCACAGCAACTGAAGGTGAAGGCTTCTGGAAACATTAGTCACAAAGACTTTTCTGGCTAGCAAAAATGGGAAACTTAGCAGTAGGAGTGGTAAGGTGGAAATGGGAGGGTCAGAGCTCAGGAAGAGAGTCAGCTGAAAAGAGATGATGGTGTATTTCTAAGGAGCCCTAGTGGTGCTGTGGACTAGGCAGTAGACTGCTAATTGCAAGCTTAGCAGTTCAAACCCACTAGCTGCCCTGAGGGAGAAAGATTAGACTGCTCTGATAAGAATTTACAGTCTCCGAAACCAAGTAAGGTGCCTTTATGGCATTGTATGATAAGCACTGGGTGTCTAACCACAAGGTTGGCAGTTCAAACCCACCAGCTGCTCCAGGGGAGACAAATGAGGCTTTCTGCTCCCATAAAGATGCCCAGCCTTGGAAATTCTATACAGAGTCATTATGAGTTGGTATGGATTCTATATCAGTGGGTGGACATATGAGGTAGAATCAAGTCTACGGCAGTGAGTTTAGGTACATTAAGGTGTGGAGTGCCTTCCCTTGCAGTCTGACACTAGAGGGGGTTTGACTCTAGCTCTTATTTTCTCAAAGGAACTGACCACCGGCCTCTGAAATACCCAAGCAAGGGTTCCCTGGGTCTGTTTCATTTTATAAAACCAAAAATCCAAACCCTTTGCCACTGACTCAATTCTGACTCACAGAGACACTGTGAGAGCTGCCTGCCCCTATAGGGTCTCTGAGGCTTCAATACTTAACCCACTGTGGTTTGTTGACTTCCGTAGAACTCATGTTTTGATTAGCAGTTGAGAAAGCTCACCGATGTGCCACCAGGACTCCTTAATTATTTGATTATTTAATAGTGATCCCCTAATTATGGTTGGAGTCCTGGTGTGGTGCTATGGGTTAATGTGCCAGACTGCAAAGCCGCTTGAACTGCAAGGTTGGCAGTTCAAGCTCACCAGCTGCTCCGTGGAAACCCTATACAGGGTCGTTATGGGTCGGAACCAACTCGCTGGCACTTAACAACAACAACAACAATTATGATTGGGAGTCCTGGTGTGGCACTGTGGAGCAATGTGCTGGACTGCACAGTCGGTTTGAACCCTAAGGTCAACGGTTCAAGCCTACCAGCCACTCAGAGACCCTATACAAGTTTGTTATGGGTCGAAACCAACTCGACAGCACATAACAATTATGGTTGGTCTTGCTAGACAATAGTACTTGTTAGCTGCCATCCAGTTAACCTTGAGTCACGGAAGCCCCACGCACAATAGAAGAAAGACTGTTTGGTCCTATGCTACCCCAGTGACTGAAGGTAACAGAAGTAAAGAATTTAACCCCCCGGGAAGTTCTGAATAAGAGAACCTCTGTAGACTCCAGCATGGAGAAAGGGAAAGAAGTGGAGAGGGGAACAGAGAGGTGAAGCAGAGCGTCCGTGTGCTCCTTGTCCTGGTCCCACACATTGTTAGAAGGCTTTCATTCAAACACCAACGGTCAACTCATCTACCCTCTTCAAATGGTGCAGAGTCAGCAGTCTGGCAGGGCACCTCCAAACTGTAGCTCGGCCCGTACCGCTCATCTGTTAACAAGTTCTAGGGATTTCACTAGAACCAAAGGATGAAATTGTTCAGATGACAGGATTTGTTGAGTGGACGTGTCATTTTCCAATTAGTGTTGGAAGAAAGATCAGCTTAGTTGGCTTGTTGCCTGGTAACACAGTGGGGGCCGTTTGCCTAGTGCCTACACACAACTGGTATAAGCTTTCACACTGGACTGCTCCAGTGTGAGCATTTATTTGTTACAGCTGTGAACCCATGCACACCCTCCTGTTCTGTGTCCTTATCGGGCCCCCAATTAAGTAAGCAATCACATCCCAGTTATTTTTCATTAGTTTTCAATTCCAGTAGCAGTGAGCTGTGAACTCTTTGCTCAGCAACAGAAGGAAAAAGCCATTATTTAGCAAGAGACTGACTTTCCAATATTGTTGTTGTTGTGTGCCATCGAGTCCAACTTGTAGCAGACTTGTAGGACCGAGTAGAATGCCTTACATGGTTTCCCAGGAAAATCTAGGAACAGCTCACCAGGTCTTGTCTTAGGTGCCATGACTAGTGGGTTTGAACCATCAAGTTTCAGTTAGCAGTCAAGCACTTAGTCAGTGCACCATGGGAGCTCCTATTCCAATAGTAAGAGGCTTCCTCTACATCACCTTAAAGGGCCTTCCAGCTTGTGGTTCAGTTCTGAGTACAGATCTGGTCCAAGAGTACTATGGTTTTTTATGAGAGGCAGAACTCAAAGGGGAGTCAGCCTTTTTTTTCCTGGATTATCTTTATGTAAATTGGTTGCTGCTTTGAAATTTCTCATGTTCTCCTAAATTTCTTTGACCACAAAGGACGCCCTACTGAGTTGAAGTAAAATGGGATCAATCCTTAAGTTGTCACTATGCTAACTGCTGCTATATTGAACTTCATAGGAGTCTCTGGTAACTAAGTGTATTCATTTTCTGTTACCACATAGTAAATTACCACACACTTAGCTGCTTCAAGTCCCATGGATTTATTATCTCAGTTTCCATGGGTCAGGAGTCCAAGCAAAGCTGGGTTCTTGGCTCAGCATCTCACAAGGTTGCAGCTTTGGGCTCATCTGAGGCTTGGGGTCTTCTTCCAAGCCCACAAGGTTTTGGCAGAATTCATTTCCTTGTAGCCATAGAACTCTTGGAAGCATGCTACTTCAAGATCAACAGGAGAATCTCTCTTACGTGGAACTCTTCTTTTAAAGGGCTTGACTGATTAGATTAGGCCCACCCAGGGGTTAATCTCCTGTTTGATTTGCTCAAAACCAACTGATTTGGCACTTTAGTTACATCTGCAATATCTTGTTTCTTTGCCATAGAATGCAATCTAATAACAAGAATAACACCCACTGAGGGCAGTATACAAGAAGGGGGAGGGCAGTATACAAGGAGAGGTAAGTTGGCAGAAGGATGATGAAGACAGGTAAAGACACATGGAGGTATGCAGGGACTAAAGAGGATTATATACACAACCTTGAACAGCAGTGTTCTGTGGGTAGATACATGGACAGAGGCACAGGCTGAGAGAATGTGGAAGGAAGAGTGGATGTATACCCACAAATATATAAGGATTTGCTGCAAACAGAGCTATGAATGTGGTAGAGTATACAGTGGGCAATATGATGAAATTCATTAGATATTATCAAACATCTTAAGGCAGGCCATGAATTGCTGAGCCTTGGGGATCCAGGACCATAGTGTTAGGGGACACCATGGTCAGTTGACATAATATAATCCACGAAGATAATGTTCTACTTCCTACTTCGGCAAGTAGCGTCTGGGCTTTGAAAAGCTGAAGTGTAACTGTTAGTCTCTCCATATGCGGAAGAAGGGTGATGAGAATTGAAGCTTCTTGGAATCCAACAGACTAACTGAACATGTGAGCATCTGTCTCCATGACTCAGAGACCAAAAGAACTAGATGGTGCCCCGCTACCACTACCAACTGCTCTGAAAGGGATGACATTAGAAGGTCCCAGATAGAGTGGGAGAAAATGTGGACCAAACTCAAATTACAGAAAAAAGACTAGGCTGACTGGTCAGAAAGAGACTGGGAGAACCTTGACCACCCTTCAAGTTTGCAAAAGGATTCATTCTTGTGGCCCAATTTTCAGTCAAGCGTAGATAGGTATATCGGGGGGAGGGGGAGATAGCAGCAGTAGTAAGTTATGCTCACCATGGAATGGTCAGTCATTCAAAAGGGCAACATTTACTTAAGAACCAAGCTAAGAAGGGATGAGAAAGCAGGGGGTGGAAATAGAAACCGCAGGGAGGAAGTGGGATAACTTGTAGGGAAGGGATTGCAGTTATTGAGATGAAGAGAAAAGGCTTCAGTCAGCTTAGTGAGGAAGACTGTGGTGGTCTCGTAAAAAATAATAATAATAATAATAATAATAGTAACAACACTCACCGATGGGAGGGAATTGTACAGCCCATATAATATACACCAGGGATGAGAACCTTGGGCTCATTGTGCCTGTCACACTAAAGTTTTCTTCTTCCTCAGGTGAACTTGTCATCTATCTTGCTTTGCCCCATATTGCTATAATCATGGCCGCTGGCTGCCATGTAAGAAATGTGTTGAGAGCCATGAGACAGTCTTTTGAGCCATGTCTGTTCGGTCCTTTCTTCTTGCAGACGCTGTCAGGACTCCCAGACCAAGACAGCTTCTACGACGTGGTAGACTGTCTGGAGGAGCTGGGCCTTGCGGCTGTATCACAGAGGCATTTGAGCAAAAAAGGGACTGACCTGGACTTAGTGGAGCAGTTCAACATTTATGAGGTACATGCCTTTTTAAGAAAACATCATTTATTTTTGGTTGCTGTTACTGAAAATATACGTGGCAGAACACACACCAGTTCAATCTCTAAATGTATAACTCAGTGACACTGATTGCATTCTTGGAGTTGAGAAACCATGCTCACCCTCCTTTCCTGAGTGGTTCCTCCCCACTTAACATAAATCCACTGCCCCTAAGCTTCCTCTCTGACTTCGCCAGGTGTTGTTGTCAATTTGATCCCAGAAAATTATTTAAAAGAGCACAATGCCTTTGGCAGACATTCTTTACTAATTACACAAAGCTATAGGATAAGCACTGGAGTGCTAACGTCGAAGTCAGCAGTTCAAACCCACCAACTGCTCCTAAAAACCCCTATACAGGGTCACTATGAGTTGGAACAAACTCAACAGTACTTAGGAACTTTACGGAAATAATTATTTCAGGGGAATTTTGGTTTAAGGGTTAGAGATTATGTTGTGGCAGGAGTTTGAGAGGATTATCCAGCTTCAGTGACTCCCAAAGTCTGGATTCCATGAGAATTCGAAATTCTGCCCAACATGCCTTTTTTAATGCATTGGTATAACAGCTTCCTCAGAAGTCAAAGGCTGAGATGTAACATAGCCTATCTAGATCAGCGGTGCTGAATGTGGGTAACAGCAGCAGTAGCACCTGGAAACTTGTTAGAAGAAATGCAGCTTCTCAAGTCCCACCCCAGAACTATTGAACCAGGGAGCCCAGCAGTGTATGTTGTAACAAGCCCTCCTCCAGGTGACTCTGATGTGCACTCTAGTCGAAGAACTCTGGTCTAGGTGAAACTTGATAACTAGTTTAAAGAACGTGTGTGCTGTTCACAACACCACCTCTCAGGATGAGAGAGAACAAGCAATCACGTTCCTTACATCTAATGGGATGGGATTTCAGGCACGACTGGTTACATAATTTGTGGGGCCGAGGGCAGAATGGAAATGTGGATTCATTGTTGAACCACAAGAAAAAGTGCCATTAATCTTCAATGCAATGTCATTGTAGGTAAATAAATAATATTAAAGCTTTAAATTATCAACATGGATTTTACCCTGAGGGAGTAAAGAAGCAGAGATTCTGAGATTGTGACTGTATTTATGAAGAAAAGAGTCAGGATGTGTGGTGGGGTGAGGGAAGCTGAGGCAAGGGGTAAGGAAGGCTTCTCTGAGGCAGCAGGCTAAAGATGATACAGAGGAAGAGACGTGAGGCCTCTGTGAGAGTCATCCTAAGGAGGTTGGCATGACTGGAGGGTGACCTGGAGAGGTTGGCCTCCTTTGGGCTGCATCCCACGAGACCTTCTTTTGTCCTTTCCCCTTCTGATTCCCTCCAGCTAAAAACAGGTTGATCCTCTAGAAAGTGCTATCTAACTATGCCATTCCTCTACTTATGAAAAAAATCAAAGTAGTAAATAATCACAAAGCCCTTTTCATGACCAGCAGGATGAAGCCTCCACCCCTTGACTTAGTACAAGGTCCCCATTCAGTCTTTAGCCTTCTTGACTCTAGCCTTTTCCAAGATGCCTGTGAAATTTCAGCCTCACTGATTCCCGGGCTCGCAAACCCTCACGGCAGGTCCTTTGGGGAGCTTTCATTCATTCTTATTGTTTTGCACAAAGTGTAGTTTCTTCCTAATCTCATGTTGGGGTCACCCAGGATGTCTCCTCCTTCACAGAGTGAAGTCCCTTGTGCCTCCACTGGTCCCCAACATTGTGTTCTTAACAGTTGAAGGGGCTTTTGTCTCTGTCCTCACCGCTGATCTAATTGTTCCCAGGACTTGCTTACTGGTCTGATTGTCTGTGAGCTACTCTATGGCATAGGTCTTATCTCTCTTCCTAGCCACAGGGCCCAGCAGCACACCTGCCCAGAGTAGAAGTATAGTAAGTGCTTCAATGAAGGTCTGTCTCTTCCAAATACCACACATTTTCTGATAGAGTTTGCCAGATGCTAGGGTGAAGGCAACACATGATTTAATCAGAAATCACCTACCTTAAGGGGCAAATGTCCTGTGGGGAATAACTCAGGATGACAGCTGAATTCTTTAGATACCAAGCAGAGTCAGGGGTTTTATGACTTTCTGAAAGTTCATGTATGTTTTCAAAAATTTACTGCCACAGGACAACCAACTTGTACATACCGGGCCAGTAAGAAGGCCTTTAAGGCAGAGTCAGAGTTCCTGACAAAGGACTTTGTTCTCAAACTTGAAGAGAACTTGGTTGCGTTTCTAGAATTCTTCCTCAGAGTGGAGGGTGTCTGGAGTCCATGTGTCCCAGACTTTCTGGGGACAGGCCCAATTCCATGGAATTTAATTCCATTTAGAAAAGGTGATTTGATCCATGTTTAATTGAATTCATTTGCATTTTATGGCCTCATATGACTTTTCAAAAACATAAATCCATAAATCAAAATAGAAATCTTTTTCAGATCATAACTTTTGGTTCTGAAACTGTCCTTGTAATGGGAAAGGCATCTTAAGCCTGAAGACATTGTGGAGGAGGGTTGAACTGTTCCTTTTAGGAATAATTAGGGAATAGGTTCAACCTCTTGAGATCCTTCCTTGTCAGAGGTGATTAAAACAAAATTAGTTATCAGTTATACAAACATCCCAAAACTTTGTAGTCTAAAATAGCAATCATTGCTCGTTATTTTGAGGGGGAGGGGAGGGGGTCAGTAATTTGAGTTTGGGTCAGCCCGGAAGTTCTCAGGTGGCTGCCATTACCTGGCGGCAGCTTGGTTGGATAGTCTAAGATGCCCTCATACACTTCATCTGGTGTTTGGTGCTGGCTTTGAGTGTCCAGGAGTCTTCAGCAGCTAACCTGAGCTACTTCACATGGTGCTAGCATTCCAGATGGCCAAGTCCTGATGCTCAGATGCTTTTCGAGTTTCTGCTTTTATCACACAATGAGGGCAGGGCCATTAAAACCCATTGTTGTTGAGTCAACGCCAAGGCATAGCAATCCTATAGGAAAGAGTAGAACTGCTCCATGAGGCTTTGAAGACTACTCTTGAGGGGAACGGACTGCCATGCACTTCTTCTGAGTTGCTGGTGGGTCCTAACGACTGTTCTTTCAGTTAGCAGCTGAGCACTTAACCATTGTGTCAGCAGTATAGTGTAAATGAAGCAAGGTTGGCCGTAATTTGATAAGAGTTGAGTCTAAGTGTTGAACACATCATGTTCGTCATACTCTTCTCCCTATGTTGTGTACGAGGGAGCTTAAAAGGTTCCTGAAAGAAATTGAATTAAGTGGTAATGACACGTTTCCACAAACTTTTTGGAGCCCCCTTCATCTGTTAAAAGATTTCCATAATAAAAAGTTAAGAATGGTCAGGTCAATAAGCAATCCTCAAAGACTGGTGGAAGTTTCCACAGACACCACCTGAAGCTGCTCCTAACTGCTTTCTGGGCAAGTCTGGAATGTGCTTGTTCCACACCTGAGCCTTTAAGTCTGGCAAGCAGAGCTCTACATTTATGTAAAAGCTTTAGAAGGCATTTGATGAGGGGTCCAGCAATTGAAGTGCTCCGTTATTTGGCAGAGAGCAAGAGCTTTCAAGACAGGCTTGGTCTTACTTTGTGTTCATGAAGGGCTTGCTCATCGTGCTTGTAGTTAATTAGGTCTGCTGCCTACCACAGATTCTGGATAAACCTTGTGTTAAGAGATGTTCAAGGAGCTCTGGTAGCGTAGTGGTTACAAATCGGGCTGCGAACTGCAAGGTCAGCAGTTCGAAACTACCAGCTGCTCCGCGGGAGAAAGATGAGGCTTTCTACTCCCATAAAGATTTACACCCTCGGAAACCCTGTACAGGGTCGCTATGGGTTGGAACCGACTCGACGGCACTTAACAACAACAACAACAACAACAAGCTGCCTACCACAGATTCTGGATAAACCTTGTGTTAAGAGATGTTTCTCCAGGTGTTTTTCAGCTTTTAGTGTTTTTAACTCTAAACTGCAGTGCTCCCTACAATCAGAAAAATTTGGAAATGCCATTGTAGTCCTGTATATGCAATTGAAGTCTCTTCCTGTTATCAGCATATATTGGTGATTCTAGAAATCTTAGTATAAATGCCAAGCCACAAGTGAACAGTATCCCTCAATTTCATGTTACATTGTCCCTGACTGCCAAGCCCAAGGCTGCCACTGAGTCTGCTTGGACTCTGTGCAGACCCTTCCCCATGCAACCCCATCCCCAAGCATTCCTCATCCTTTTTTTTTCAAGGATATAGATGTTTGTGTAAAGGATCTGGCTTTAGAAAACCTCAACTAGATTCCATTTTTGTATGTTGCCTTGATAGTTTTCCAGAATTTTCTGTTCATTTAAACTTTCTGATTGTCCCCATTTTCTTTGGCTAAAGACAATAAAAATGGATTTCACTTCATAAACACCCAGTGTGCCTCTCTGAAAGGAACTGTGAGCAGAATTCTATTCAGTTCTTAGATCTCTGAGGTTAGATAAGGAATGAGAAATATCTGAACTCTACTTTAGCCTTTAATCTTATCATTCCAAATGTGCGTTTAATAAGAAGCAGAATCAATACTTGAGGTCAGAATAAGTTCAAATGATCTACAAGTTTTATATCCAAAAATGAAGAAACATCAAATAATTGTCTAGAAATAGTAAGTAATAATAATAATAATTTCCAGGCTTTCCCCAGAGAATGCCATCCATTTGAAATGTTAAAGTTGAGATGGTAAATGTGATTGACCGAATGCAGAATTTCTTTTTTAGCTTTTGTAGTTAGCACTGGAGGGGGCTTCCCGAGGAAGCAGATTTTCTAATGAAATCATGTAAAGTTAGAGCTTTGGTGGAATTCTTAGCACTTCATACCTCAGTCCTCCCGAAATGATCTCTCTGTCAAGGATCTTCTGGGATAGTGAACTAATCAAAAGATTATTCAACTGTGTTCATGTACCTGAGAGTTTCTATGAAATGTGTGTAACCTATAGAAAGACTTGTTCACTAAATTGTATCCAAAAGCTGAAGGAATCTGGAAGGTGGGGTGGCTAAAGGACCTACACACCCCTGTTAAATAGGCTGTGTCCTACGACCCTGTGAACCAGGATGGGAGTAGCCAGCCCAACCTTGCCTCACCCAAACTTCCTTTGCTGAATGAACCCAGATGCCAAAACTTAGATCATAGAGGACAATTGGTTTTGCAGTAGCCAGCTCTTGTGTAGGCAGATCTTGGTTGTATATCTGGGCCTTTAACTATCTTTTCTGTGCTGTCATGTCAGGACTGGTGTGGCACTGTAGGATAAGCACCAGACTGCTAACCTCAAAGTTGGTGGTTCAAACCCCCCCCCCCCCCCCGACACTTCTTGGAAACCCTATACAGGGTTACCTACTTGTGGGCACTTAGCAACATGTTTGAACTGAGTTGTGAAATGTGACTGAGAGCACATACAGACCAGGGAACTTGTCTTTATGTGGATTTGGGACTGTGTGACGTCTACCAACTCAGACGGTCTGTTGGATTTGGTTGGTCCTGGTTTACCAGGGCTGCAAGGTGGCCCGAGCAGTCAGTTCCATATGATGGGGAAACTTCTTGGCATCCTACACCACTTTACTTGAGGGCATGGGTAGGATGTAGGGTGCAGTCATACATATTGAGTGCCAGCCATGGCATAAATCTTTATCCTAGACGCCTTATATAGTTTATCTTGTGCTATCCGTACCATACAATACTCTGGAAAAAAGGTAAGTCATTTGTATAGCTCTCTTCTGGTTTGTTGATGGAACAGCTATAATCCACTGACAATATGTGGTCTTTTTTCATCTAGTCTTAGAAAAGGCGGATATAAAATTATTAAAGCAGCCAGAGATACAGATGAGTCTAACTCACAGCTGGGAAGAGTGGGCTTAGGTTAGGAGCAGTACTGGCTGCCAGACACGAGCTGAAGGAGACTTGATTTTAATGTGGAGAGAAGGCTGCCTAGTAGGATACAGGACAGAGCAAGATGAAGACATGGTGAACTGGGCCTCTGGAGAGGGCACCAACTAGAAGCAGGACTAAAATGTCCTTGAGAGAAAACCAGACTGTCAGTGAAGTACCGGTGGCCCAGCTTTTCACATAAGAGCTCACGTGGCGGATGCAAGCCAGTTGTTACTCTGCACACTTATGCATCATTGCCAAGAAGACAGTTTTCCAAGCATCTTTCTGCTGGGGCTCATGCTTCTTGCTGTTGTATGTTTGTGACTTTCATGGGCAGGTTGTCTAGTGTAGCTACAGGCTTCACCTGCAACCCTGAGCTCAGGAGGTCAAGCTGTTGAAGGTAGCCTGAGAACCACTGAGACTGTCAGTCAGGATTCAGAATTCAAGCAATATAGACTCCCCAATATTGTTCCTTCGATTCCAATTCATGGTGACCTCACGGGTCTCAGAGTAAACCGTGCCCCATAAAATTTCCAGGGCTAACTTATTAGAAATAGATTGCCATGCCTTTCTTCAGAGGTGCCGCTGGGTGGACTCAAACCTCGGCCTTTTAGTTAGCAGCCAAGTGTGCGAATGTTTTTACCACCCAGAGACTCCAAAACATTTTCTGGGTGAGGTCTGTTCCCTCTAACATGCATGTGTGGCTCCCACCTCTGACCAGAATCCTTGCGGTGCTCTTCTGAGCCCCTTCTTTGGGAAAACAAGCCCAGAAATGATCCAGGAATCTGACCCCATTGGACTTTAGTTGGGACTCGGTTTCCTGAACCAGAGAAGAGCAAAGGGTGGGCAAGTAGAGTTCTGGCCTGGGAGACGGAGATACAGGGATTCGGGGTATAGGCCCGGTAATTGCATAGTGCTTCTCAGACCCACTTAAGAGACTGCCTTGGCCTTTTGACTAGAAGAATGCGGAGTGGTCAGCATTGCTGGGGCTACAGACTATGCTTCAGGACACAGATGGTAAGAGAGATCTTTCCGTGATGCTGAGGCCCACAGCTTGGGAAGTTGTTGTTGTTGTTAAGTACCATGGAATCGGTTCTGACTCATAGTGACTCTGCACACGGTTTGCACACGGTTTCCAAGGCTGTAAATCTTTACGGGAGCAGAAAGCCTCATCTTTTTCCCACGGAATGGCTGGTAATTTCGAACTGCCAACCTTGAGGTTAACAGCCCAATTCATAACCACTACGCTACCAGAGCTCCTTACAGCTTGGGAAGAGACCAGGTTAAACCCTCTCTGCTTTTTCAGGTGGCACTCAAGCATGAGGATGGAGATGAGACAGCCGAGCTGCCCCCCAGCGGCCGCCGAGACCGGAGGAGGGCCAGTGTGTGTGCCGGTAGCAGCAGCAGTGGTGGCAGTGGCAGCGAACACCGGGGTCTGGACCGCAGGAGGAGCCGTAGGCACTCAGTACAGAGCATTAAGAGTACCGTGTCTGCTCCCACCAGCCCCTGCTCCCAGCTGGCTCCTGGCTTCAAGCCCAGTGAAAAGTAAGCATTAACCTAGCAGTGAGGAGGGGCACACCTCCAGGGCACTATCCCACTGGCCCCATAGAGCCCTTGGCATTGCCCTCTGGCTCCTCTCTACCATTAAGTCATATTCCCAAAATCTCATGGAACTTCATGGGGCAAGGTGGTTCCAGTGGCATGTGCAGATTTGATCTCACTTTTCAGCTACTTGTGTTGCGATCGTCTTGAATATCTCAATTAATACTTGTTCAGAAAATCTGTGCTTTAGCAAATGGTAAGGGATCCAAAACATAAATCATAGGCTTAGAAATAAATGGTATGCCATGGTATTCCTGTGAGATTGAAAGAGTTGTGATGCTCATGGGAATACATAATTGGGGTGGGTTTTAGTTAAATAGAGTAAACCTGCACACATTAAAACAAATCTCTGTGTTTCAGTAAATGCCAATGCTTTCATTTATTCAGTTAGTTAGCCAGCAAACATTTTTATTGAGGGTCTGTTATATATGGACTATCCAAGGCCTTGACGGCACTCATACATAAATGGAAAAGGTATGATCTCTGGCTTTATGAATCTATGTCTGATAGGCTAACAAAGAAAAACAATGAGAAAGGTAGTAGATAGGAAGAAAAAGAAAGGTTGATAATGCCATATGAAATTATGGCCTTATCAAAATGTAAAGTTTAAATTTTGAATTGAAAACTCTGGGAAAGCTGAAACGGTTCCATTAAAGGGAGGCTCAGCAAACAGGAGCTCTTGGTCTGGGTTGCAGTCTCCAAATGGATGCTGTCTCTTCACTGGGATGAAGGGGTCTGTGGACCAGTCCTTACCAACAAGGTCCACAGAGGCCTGGCTGAGGCACCAGGGTGCTCTACTTCCTGTTGTCAGCAGAATGAAAGCAGCTGTCAGGATATTTGTATGGAGAGATGCCCCCATTTTGAAGATCCAGTTTAGGTCAAGAAGCCAATTGATGAAAAAGAAAATTACTCAGAACAAGTTGAATAGACTTAAGAAAGAGCGCCTTCCTCTACATCCATAGTGAGACAGTCCCCCGATCCCCACCTATTACCACCCCCAAGAACTGCTCTGAGAAGTACACACAGAATCACTTGAGCCTTAGCCAGCCTACACCTTTGGGTGCCTCTTATCTCAGAGGACAGAAGGGTGTTGGTCTTAGAGACACTGAAACTCTTCTTTGCCCAGGGATCCTCCATCTTCAGGTTTTCTGAGCATTTGTGTCTAATAAAGTCCCTTTTAGTGAAAAGAAGCACTAAATTTCTAAACAGATTTAGGAATGAGAACTTCTACCATGAAAACTGCACTTAGTGATCTGGGATCTTAAAAACACTCAGACTCACTGTAGGGAGCCTTCTTTTAGGATTGTTCCCAGCCAATGGCTTACGAAATTAATATGGAGATGTTAGTGTGTGCAAAGGGCTGAAGAAACTGTACACAGTGGACTGAAAAGTCTGTATTTCAAACCACCAAAGATGTTGAAGGGTAGGAGTTTAGGTGGACCATCAGGAGCAGCTGATAGTCTCTTGTTTTGTCTGACTTGTTTCATGTTTGCTCCTGGTCTGTTTCTTGCCATTATGCTCTGAGCTACCTTGTGAGCTCAGGTGCCAATACTTTGTGGTCTTCCAGATTGACAAGACCAACAAGAGTAGAGCGAACCACCCCCTGGACACAGGTCACAATTCTGAGGTGCTGGGCCTGGTGGATTCTGGGACTGGAGGCCCTTCTGCTCTGAATGCTGTTATTTTTTCTGTTTTCAAATAGGACCAATTTTCTTTCATTTTACCTAAATTGTTACTGTATCATAAATTTAGTAGTGTTTATCTGAGAACAATACACCTTCCAGCTTGTAAAGACAGATAACAACTTCAAGATTGATGATTATGAAGTGGCTTCAGCCATGAAATCTCTTTGAGGAATTTTTGCCCTGTGGCCCCAAAGTGACAGTACAATTTTGGCAGAGGTGGGAATGAGATAGAAGGAAAGGGTGACGAGAAGCAAAATGGGAAATGATCCCCGCGTGCATAGCTTAGTCACCTGCTCAACATCTGTGCCTTAAAATAGGACCAGAGAATCAAGTAGCTCATTGTGCTACGTTTCCCTATAGACCCGAAACACAGAAGCATGCCTGCCCTAGATTGCATTTATGCTATGTGAATATTCTGGCCGTACTCACTACTAATTTGTAGGTAGCGTATGCCACAGAAGAGGAATTTTAGGCTGGGTTTTTAAACTCTATGACCCAATTAATGCCAACACTTTTGAAAGGAAACTAAAAATACATTAGGAGTTAAGAGGAGTTTTAAAATGTATGTAGCACGCTAAACTCAACCCTTTGTGCATCATTTGAATTAGTTCTCAAAGCTATCCTCTGTGGGGTCTAGGCAGGGCAAATGCCTTTTATTCTCATGTAACCAGTGACGTACAGATTGAATTGCAGAACTTGGGGAGTGGTGAGCAGTAGTCTAAACCCATATCTTTGGTCGTTGCCTCTCACTGTCCAAAGCATACAAAACATACCCAACCACCCACTCCTGAACATACTCATTGTGCAAGATTTGCATTTCTTTCTTTTTAGGGTACACATAACCAATAAACTTGTACCTTACTTGGCAGATGTTCAGTGTGGAGGTCTACCTCTTAAGAACTAAAAGCAAACTATCTGAGTTCAGTGTCTTGTTATTAATCCTACTGAGAATGAAAGCACATGGTCTAACAGGGTTAAGTGTTTAGAGAGACTTGGAGTTTTTTCCTTTGCAACTTCTCTTTGAAGTTTTATATTTGTTGTTGTTGTTAAGTGCCATCCAGTTGGTTCTGACTCATAATGACCCTGTATAGAGTTTCCAAGTGGCTGGTGAGCTTGATCCGCCAACCTTGTGGTTCAAACTGACCTTGCAACTCAGCACATTAACCCACAGTGTTTCTATTTGAACGTCACATGGGACTTAACATGTAAACTGTAAATTTCATCCTACTGATTTCCACACAACATTCCAACCTATAGAGGTAGTTTTGGACTTCATTCAGTCGGTTATGCTAGCAGTTGTGCCTTGCAGCTCTCAGTCATGTGTGTATTCTACATGAATGGAAGAGTGACTTGGCGGGACAGTGCATGATGACAGCTGGTTAGGGAGTGGATGGTGCAGACAATAGCGGTGTACTTCTGAATCTGGAGTCTTAGACGCTCAGTCACACTACCACACAGCCATATGCTTCTAAGACGGGGACTGGCAGACTTTCTCTGTGAAGGGCCACATAGTCAGTGTCCCAAGCCCTACAGACCAGTTGCAGACTGAGGCTCATTTGAATGCTAAAACTCTGGATCGGTGCACTGCCCACACTTGTCCACAGCAGTTTATTCAGTGGTTCCAGAATTCAGTCTAAAGTAAAACACCAGCGTGAATCTGCCTCTCTATTAGTTGGAAGTAGCTGGTTATGGACAATGGATTTGGTAGCAAAAAGAAAAAGATGAGTATAGTGGGTCCTTCGTAATCCATTTGAACCTACAAATTCTAGAACTCAGGAGACCTGCTGAGCCCTGGCTTCTGGAGGAAGGTCTGACTGTTTTCGGTAAAGGAGCCAAGGTTGAGAGTATATGCGTGGTCTTCAGAACCACAAACTAAACTTCCTGCCTCGTTTTGACCTCAGTGTTCTCACTTGAAAACTCAGGATCATGATACCTCTTTAATAAGTGGTGGGAGGGTTAAGAGAGATGGAGAGTGCTGGGCCCAGTGTGGCTATTATTATCCTTACCGACACTGCCTGCCCTGGAGCTTTCCCGGATATTGTTCTATTAAAGAAGGTAATTGTTAAATAAATATGGACATGCATTGGAGAGAATGTTTTGTACACTGGTATAAACATGCTGGAGGATTTCACAAGAATCATATTAACAACCACTGATAGGATGAGCAGCAAGTAGCTGCTTGGGATGATTTTTAACTACTAATGATAAATGAGTTATTACAAATGGGATTCACTGACAAGGGTTGTGATCAGGTATGATTGGGATAGAGTCAGTGATTCATACAGCAAATGCCCTAGAGCCTGTTTCTGGCTTCCTGGGATAGAGTAGAGGAGCTAGAGGGGAGAGGACTCAGAAATGGGGGGACTTGCATTACATAAAGACAGAGATGCAGTGAGGTATGCTCTTCTGATTCTGTGGCAAGATTCCTGATTTCTCAAAGATTCATTGGGACCAGATTGTAGATTTGTTTAAAGGTTTGGACTTTGTCTGAATTGCATTTCTCCAAAGGGATTGTGAAGAAATTGATAAAATTAAAAAATATTTTTATTGCATAGTTCGAAACTACCAGCTGTTCCATGGTAGAAAGATAAGGCTTTCTGCTCCCATAAAGATTTACAGCCTCAGAAACCCTGTACAGGGTCCTTATGAGTCGGAACTGTCTCCTTGACACATAACAACAACAAGAATACATACTGTATATACATAATTACATCTTTTGTAAACATACATACATATGTGTGTATGTTGCTGAACTTTAATACTAAAATCCAGACTGGAAGGAAATACACATGTACTGTCCCTCTATTATATAAATCAGAATCACAGGATGGCACAAATGATTACAGGGTTGACCCTTTAAATCTACCCTGTGGTGCCTTAGAAGAAACTATTGGTGATCTCCTTTGGAAGATCACAACCACTGAAAACCCTGTGGAGTGCAGTTCTTATCTGAAACACATGGGGTCACCATGAATCAGAATTAACTTGATAACTATTTTGGGGGGCTGAGTTTTGGTTGTATAACCCAAGTTCCTCATGTGGTTATGCATAGTGAGGACTCGGGTTTTTAAAGTCTGGGAGAACATTTAATGAACTGTTGGTTTCTGATGCCCTTTCAGCTCCATCATTGTCTCCTGTACAGTTCTGAGGGGAATAATAGAATGACATTTAGATGGTGTTGAGTTGGGGAAATGCTGCTTTGTGAATGTTTGTGTATTGAGTGATGCTTTAGGTATGTTTTAAAGGATGAG